CTCATACTCAATCTTTGAATCCTGATCTGTTGCCTTGTTCATATTTGTTCATTTCTTAATGACGCCTTCTCTTTGCTTCGATTTTACGGGCAATTCGTTGTCCTCATTCCTGAGAAGCTTTCTGTAATTGTCTTCGTTACATCCAGATGCATTACGTTAATGTCTATTGCGTTACCTGTTTCTTCTTTTTGCATTCCGTGAAACACGTCGAATCGGTTATTCAATCTGAGTTGGAATAATGAGGTTCTCCTTTAGTGTTTCCACGTCGAGTATCTGCAGTCTCATCGTCAGCAATTTCCTTGCTTCCGAAACTGAATCTAGATGCACTTTGCATCTGAGAAGCATGTGATCGCTTAGCGCTTTAAACCTGTTTGGCCTGCGACGTCCTGCACAGTAGCCTTCTTGTTGCTGAGGACAAAATCGATTTCACTTTCTGACGTTGTTCACGTTTTTGGCTTTTCTACGTGCATCTTTTGCTTGGTTTATTCTGGAAAAAAGTGTTCGTAATAAACGACTTGTTCTTTTCAGTAAGCTCCATTAGTCAGTCAACCCGTGACGCCCGTTTCGCCGAAACCAAATCGGTCCACAGGGCATTCGTTACTTGCTGCGGTCTGACTGCGGGGTTAAAATCACCAGTGAGGAACGTATAATGATTATTTCCATGATCATGCATTTCTATTTATTCGTAAAATTTTCAGTTTCTTCATCGGGATGGTCTGATGTTAGGCGAACATATGTTTGGATCACTTTGGGTTCGTATCTGTTTAGAACTTTCAGGACCAGTCTTGCATAGCTCTCCGAAGTGCTGTCACTTGTACCTTATTGATCCTTAATCTTTTGCGGATATTGAACCCATTTCCTTACCGTATTCCTTTTTCCAGTCCTCTGTATAACAGGATATGTACACCTTTTGGCAGCTCTAACAACTCCTCCTCTTTTCGTCTAACCTCGATTAGCGATATAATGTTCAATTCGATTTTCCTAAGTTCTTCCAGCTGTTAAAGCCTTGCTTCACGTGGAAGTTATATGCGATTGTATATTGCCAACATTGGTGGACTATAGCAGCTATGATCGTAGCCCGGTTATTTTTGCCACCCGCTGCCTTCATGCCTGACTAACTACTGCCTTCACCGGCAGCCATCCGGCCTCTGAGGGAGGAGGTTCGTGGCTTCAGTTACGATTTCATCGTGGAGTATGTGGCCATAACTTACCACGCTAGTCAGATGGGCTGGGAAAAGTTGCCTCTTCCACTTTGCCTGACGTATTTTTCAAGCTTTCAGAAGATGGCTGAACCTGTCAAAACTTGAAGGATCAGCTGTACATCGCCTTAAGTACCTGTAGTGGCCGTTTAACAAGGATGGTGTGGGGGAGTAGGGCTTAGGAGGGAACTGTGCTGCAATGAATGACTTAAATAGGCTCTCATATCTAACTATTGATTGAGCGGAGAACCGTCGAAACCGTATGAAATTAATTTTGGGCCAAACGTCAAACAAACACATGGTTGTTGATCCAGATAACCCTGGCTAACCGTGAAGATATTGGGACGGCAACGAATGGTGGTCGCTAAAGCATCATAGACGCCAATAGCGACTTCATGAACGACTTCATGATCGTTGTGCGACTTACGGGTGAGTGCCAATGCTTCTCGCTGTCAGCGAAAATCCAAAGGCACTACCCACTCAGCTATCTTTGAAACAGTGCACTGACCATGATATAACTAAGTGTATCATGACTGTATCAGTGCGCTTAACGCAATGATACTTCAGTCGGTTTCGATGATAGCTTATCCTTTTGAGTCGCCGAGGCTGAGGCGTCAGTCTCTCCATCGTTCTCGATCCTGTCAGAGCGTCATGGCTTAGCATATGATAATCCAAATCTAGAGCAGAGTCCGTCGAAGCAACTGTCTCGGATGATGCTTGGCTGTCCTAGGGGCCTTTGGCCAGTCGGTGGAGGGAGTTAGTAGCAGGTTCGCCATTTCCTGGAAGCATTCGCAAAACGTGCACAAACCATCGCAGCTGTGACTAATCCTGGAGAAGCAGCCACCATACATCGAATTCAATTTCGATATTTGAATTCTGGACTCTGACTAGATGCTTGAGCCCAGTGATTCTTCCCAGGAAGCCCATTTCAGCCGCTTGTACACGGAATAGAAGTTTTTTTGTCATTGCTCATAACTCATGGCCATAGATCAGTAACGATACCTTTGCAGGCTAAATATCTTTTGAGTACATTACATTATACTTACACCCTATGACTCTGATTCAGCTGTGCACAACAGAAACTAAATTGTTTTACACAAGCTAATCACAGTAAATCATCTTCAACAATCGCATAAATAAATTTTCTTACTAATATTTGCTGCCCGCAAAAGTAACATACTGTAATCGTGCTGACAGATAATCACATAGCAGGTGAATAGGTTTAGTTCTACGGGGAGCGTAAGCAATAAATTCAGGAGTCTATTCCGCGTTATCGTGTTGAATGCCGAGGAAACGTCGAGAAATACTACTCATACCCCTCACTTTCTACCATTTTGGCCACTTGTCACTCTATCAGTAAATAAGGCGAGCGAATCCACAATGCTACGTTACGCTCTGTATGCGAACTGTCTGGTGTCTAATCGGGACCCAATCTTTTCAGGCCAAAAAATGTGAATAAGTTGTTCCATAGTTTCTAGTGGACGCACCACTGAGGTATGATTGGTCTGTAGTCATTTAGCGTAGTGGGATTTGCTACTTTTAGAAAAGGCAACTCTACCGATGCGCTGCAAATCCGGTATCGTTTTCAGATGCAGTGACTTGCTGTGCAGACGAGTTAAAAGGGCACTGAGATCCGTCGCACATACTTTCAGGAGCACTGCTGTAGCAGCTTTCTGGCCTGGAGATACGTTTCTGCGCAGTTGTGGGAGATGACGACGGATTTCATCATAGGTGATCTACAGTTGCTTATTTGGTGTTGGTTCCGGTTTGGGCAGAATCTTGCGGAAATATTTTAGGAGACCTTTGCCATCTTAAAATCTTAGTAAATGACAGTTTGGCGTGTTGAGCGTCGTAGCGTCGCAGTACCCGCTGATTTCTCTAATTTCTTTCCACTTGTAACGCGATAGTGTTTTGGCATTTACCATGTCCTGCGAGAATTTGCGTTCGATCCCGAGTACCTCTTGTCGAACGCACTTTCAAAGGCTTTACTTCTGGCCAGTTTTTGTCTTTGTATGTCTGCTCTTTGCTGCGACGCTATACTCTTTCGATGCTGTACTACGATTTTCTCTTCTGAAACGTTCTACGGAACAGCGCAGTCGTAGACAGACTTGAAGTAGTCCACTAAAACCTCCTTGTGGACACTGATGTCATTCTTTGTCAAAATGCCGCAGTCGGTTGTGTCGAAGAAATACCGCATCTGGTCTAGGTTGGATGGTTCGAGATTTCGTTTTCTCAACTTTTTAAATATTAGCGAAATCCATTAACATTTAGATTATTTCGGATTGTTAAGAATTAGGACGATGCAATGCCCCCCCCCCATCGTTCGGGGCGTATTGACTGACGAACACCTTCATATTTCATTTACAAGTAAATGGGCCAGTTGGTACCTGCACTGACTAACTGAGCGAGTCGTAAAGTTCACAGCGTTTTTGAGACCAATATTGGTGAGTCCGGACAGTCAAGACAGTACTTATTCATGTCATCGGCTGCAATCACAGGATTTTCACCAGTTTTAACTGCGAACTGAAGTGCAAATGCGTCGATGAACGACTGGAAGAGATCGACAGAACAGTCCGCGCTGATATAGATATCACAGAGTAGCGTTTATTTAAACAATCCCTAAAATTTTGAGCAACTTCTGATGACGCAGTAATTATCAATGTCAGCATGTCACCGAAGCCGGTTTTAATCCGAAAATCGGTGATAAAGTCAAAAGTCCCGTTCCAATCAATGCATTGTTCTTCTTCAGTATTAGGTAATCCTGTCTTAGTTTCTGGCGGACCGCCGGCATGGACTTAGTTTCTGTTAGTATTTTCAGGCAACTCAACGGGCTGCGTATTATAGGTTGTTTTACTGTTGTCAAGTTTTCTTGAACGGAATGCCTTATGTTACTAGCCTAATATAATTCTTTATAGAACGACTTCCTAAACTAATTTAGAAACGGCGAAGCGGTTCTCTCGCACAGGCCATTTACAATGTTACGGCCAGCTGAACTTTTGCTTTTCATTGTAAAGACACGGGATCCAAATCCCTGCGCAGCGTTAATTACTAATTGATAGCTAATTGAGAACCCGTAGCAAGGTGTAAACCATAGATTTAAACTTATAAGTCGTGATATCCTGCGAAGCATTTATCTTTCTTACTTATTCTACATGTTTTGAAGGTGTATAGGCGTAGCAGAGTTCATTTTCAGCAGTTGAGGGAGCATATATTTTTAACTACGCTACAACATTTAAGTGGAAAAGGTTTCAGCCGGCACAAGCAATCCACAGCCGCAACACTTGCACTTGAGAGTAAAGTACTTAATATTTTAGAGACAAAATCAGAAACTGACTATATTTGAAGATGTTGAGTCGAAGCTATAGTTACACCGCACCGTCGCCAGCCCGGAGGAGGTCTGTCTCGCTGTCACGGTCGTCGTCATTTTTAATCAGCCCGTCTGTTACTTTGTACCGAAGTACATCAAGCGTCTTCTCCAGCTCGCCGAGATCTTACCTGCCCGCTTCTTTCTACCGACCGAACGTTATGGTATCTTATGGAGTGCAAAACAGCGTACCAAAATATACTGATAGATATCCATATGTTCGGTATAGCGGATGGGACGTCAATCCCGGTGCTGTTTGATCATTATCTTTTTGTCCAACTATAAAGCTTTTGCAGGCATGGAAATAATCAGTCGAAGCAGTGACTACACTAGGAACCACTACACCCAGAGTTACAAACCGGTGCGCCAGTACCTAGACAATACCCTGTCTATGTACCAAACGAACGTGCATATCAGAAACTCATATAAACCGTCCCCGATTCACTACAGACCACCAACACGCTCTTATATCAAGTACATGAACGTTGATGATGCTGTGAACATGTACAAGAATCGATATATGACATCCGGAGCACTTGTAAAGTACTGGCTAACGCCTTCCAGGTCTGATATCAGAAGAAGAAGAGATTTGGGATCAAGCTACTTTGCCAGAACCTACACTGTTCCATCCTACAGGATGGACTTTGGATATCGACTTTCCCGTTATTAAAGTGCACGGCGATTTATCTGTTCCATGAACCACCTTTTAGATACGTTATACCTATTTTGTTGGAACATAGTTGGAAACGATACGACTGGAAGAATAGCGGAAGTGACAGAATTAATTCGATGTAAAGCGCAGTAGGGTGCCAACACTTGACACTTCGTGCATCCGTTCGAAACATTAGGCTGTTTTCGAATTTCTTTGGTTACTTGTGGAATTTATTGCTTTTCTTCGGAAGATTACTTTGCGTATCGATTTTAGTCAGACAAAACGCCAATAAATAAAATTAGACCGGATGTCGGTGAACCATTGTGATACAAAATTACCAACTCAATAATCAATATATTTCTAAATAGATAATTGGCAAGATAGCTGTACAGTGTTTGTTGCTACGTACTGAAAGACGAAACTTAACAAAATGTGTAATTTCGCTGACCAAAATTAACAGCATGGTTCAATCAAAATTTGCGCTGTTAATAATTGTTATAAACAAAATTTTTAACAATTCGTCAACTTCTTATATAAATGATTCTGAAAACAGCTTCCATTTCATTAGAAAAGAAACTTTTAATACTTTTAAACGATTCTGTGTATTTTGAACACCTCAGCCTCTATTCAGAGGGTAAAAAGAAAAAAGAAAACAGTATTGTTAAGATCTCATTAGTGATTAATACGTAAGATGGCCACACGAATGAAAACTGTTGCAAAAAAATCTTGGCTTTATTAAAAACACCGTATACACACGAATCTGAAAACAACTTACGGCAAAGGCAGACTTAAAATTAACAAGCCAATTTCAAAAAATTTCAAAAGCAGAACAATGGCCGAACTATGAAACGAGAGGTACTCGACGCAAAACAGACATCCAGTTAGAAACAGATCATGGTAAAAGCAGCTGCGATGTAAAGGAACATGGGCAAAATAAAACAACTGTACATAAGAACGCTTAGCTAGTCTGCGAAAATGAAGAAAACTGGTTCGACAAACAAACTGGTAATTGTCTTTCTTAACAATAAGTTTGTACAAATAAAGTCAAGATGTACAATACTCATATAAGTGCCTAAATAAATAGATGGAAAAGTAAAGGCTTCCTGAAGAAAGCTGCAAAATACAATACAGAGAACAATAAAAGGAACGTCATTTTCGACTTTAATTTTAGGACAAAATCATATCACTAAAAATATCACAGATCTCAATAGCTTAAAATGTACTGAAAACACAATACTTTTAGTGTTGACCGCCAGCGATAAATCGACCACAGATTACAGGACACCTAAGCTACTCCAGTGAGCTAAGCCTAGATATTTCTTCTTATTCTTATTAATCCGAAGAGTAGCAGATGGAACGTCACATCTGCGTCGCAATATGTAAATACGATCATCACACTGAGTACTGGCATAGAATGCATTGGCCTTTTCTGGTAAAAGCAGTTCGCCTAAAAATCCAGAGATAAAATTAAAACACACTTTAGTCTTTACAATTTCTAGTCTTTGGTGCAAGTCAGAGTTAAACAAAAAACCAATGGAACTTCTATGCCGCTAATTTTCAAACCTCGAAAAGCAACAGTACCGCAAATGTCACAAATACAGCAAAATCATGCAAACTACCCATGATGCTTTGTGAAAATTGGGGATGGCTTGACAACCGATTCTGTTCCTGTAAATTTACGAAAGCAA